CATTCCCCCTGGAGGAGCTGGAGGAAGTGTCTGGAGAGAGGGAAGTCTGGGCATCTTTGCTTAGACTGCTGCCCCCGCAACCCGGTCCCAGATAAGCGGAGGAAAATGGATGGGTGGATGGATGGATGGATGGATGGACTTCTATGTAGCAATCACAGTAGAATTAGCCTAAATCACAGTGGCATGTTGCACAGTATGTGTTAATCAGAGGTCATAGGTGAAAGGTTTATCAGCCTGTGAAAACTGTCTTCTGTGGCCCTGAAGGAGTTTTATAAAGTGTTGATGATGTCAGGGTTATTTTTGTTTGGGCTGTCTGTGATGGGCTGTGTATCAGACTGGGAGTGTCTGATGATCAGGCATTTTTGGAGCTTTATTGAGCAGACTGAAGTGTCATGATTCTGTCTCTTTTGCTTCCGGTAACATGCTTTTATTCTAACACCACTTCCGGTCTAAAGTCTCACCTCAGCTATGGACTTTTTACACCAATCAGTAGTAATGACCTGCACCTGTTGACACCCTTTTATAGGCAGCTTCCTCCCACCAGGAAGCTGTCAGATTGTTCTAACTCATGTTCAGACTTTCCAGCGGTTTTTTTCCTTGTACCTGTTATTCCAGCTCTGACCCCAGATTGCCTTGTGACCACCGATTACTGCCTAACCATTCTGATTCTGACTGTATTCTGTGCATCGACTTACGGACTTCCATTACTGACTGATCTTCTTGTGGATACCTTGGATGTGTGAGTTTGCTGGCTCTGACCCTGGACTGCAATTATCGACCTGAGAGTGATACATGTTTAATCAGACTTCTGCACTGTGTACAGCTGTTTGTGACCCGTGCTCTTATTAAAGAGACAGTGTTCTGCTTATCCTTGTCTGGCCTTATAATTGAGTTCACCCTCGACATTATTGGCATCTCTCTCTTTCTCTTTTACTTTCTCTCTCTCTCTCTCTCTCTCTCATATATAGTAGTTGAGCGGCTTTTTGAAAATGAAACAATAAATCATTGTTCCTCTGTAACCACTCATTAATTATGGTGTTGTTGCTATGCATGGATACATCAGAAATTAATTCCTTTAAAAATGCTGATATTGAACATAACCCAACTTTTGCATGTTAGTCTGCTGTGAATGTCTGCTGGTTATAGAACAGACAATATAACTTGGTAAGTTCTTTCAACAAACAATTTGTAGCACAATCAAGCCCGCCTACAGATCCATATTTCAAACATGAGGCCTACAAGAACTTTCTTTTTATGAGCACCAAACAACAAGATGCTAAATCAATGTTAAAATGCAGAATGAAGAGGCAGCTGGCAGCCCACAAACAGACAGGCAGGCCCTCCCTACTAAAACAGTTTGTACTTTTGGGATTGAAAAAAAAAATCACTGCAGGGCTATGTCAACAAAAATCTGCAACATTCACAACGTCTCTGAGTTGGGGAGGGGAAAACCACGCGTTTCCCCTACTGTTATGAAAGGAGCCCGCAGCTCCACTGAATGAATGCATTCTCCCTTCCCCGAGATGACCAATAACTTTTCGTCATTCTGTGGTGCAAGTTGGCCGCGTCAGCCAGGCGCGCCCACTGCTCAGCTCAACCCTGTGTGCACCCAGTAACGGAGTTTAGTTTGGATGGATTCACGGAAAGTCTACACATGTCAAACGGAGTGTTTTACAGCCGAGTGAGACGTCACGGGAGAACGGAGCTTCACGGATAAGTCAGTCGTTACTTTCATTTGACGCTGTTAATATTCAGACGCAGCAGAAAGAGAGTGTACTTTTTGGTAAGCGATGCGTTCTGCTAAAATCTTGAAGAAGTGGGTTACTGGTGGAATTAAATGGTAAATGGTCTTATACTTGTATAGCGCCTTTTACAGCACACTCAAAGCGCTTTCACACTATTCGGCCATTCACCCATTCGCACTCCCCAAGCTCTCATGCTCAAGGACACTAGTGTGTATGTGGCACAGACTGTACTTACTATGAACTGTTACTTTTTATTCCGCAGGCAAAACTGCTTACTGACATTTTTCTATAAATATAGTGGCTGGCTTCAGTAGGACAGGCTGTACTTTTTATTTGTTTCTACATTCAGTGTTTTACCCATTTCGTCTTATACAGTCCAACCTAATGGTAATATTTCCAATAAATTTGCCATCTTTACATTTTTGTCTTGAAGATTTGTCTTTTTCTTACTGTTGTTCAGTCAGTAGGCTAGATGTTTTCTATTGTTTACTGAAATAACATCCACAATATAACTTTTAAAAGATCCTGTTCATTATTGATTGCACTTTATTTACTTAATGATCAGAACTAAATCCCTAACCCTAATAGTAACACTAGTAACAACGTATTCTAACCTGAACCCTAAAACCAAGACATAACCCTCTTTGGTTATGTTGCTTCAGAAAGTGAGGACTGGCCAAAAATGTCCCCTATGTAGCAAAAAAAAGAACTTTTTTTTTTGGTCCTCACTATGCAGCAAGTACAAGAACACACATACTATACTGTATATACTATGTATGTATCTATGATTGCACTGAATCTGCCTCCAGAGTTTTGTTCATTTAGACATTAGTTACTTTCTGGTTTGATGGTGCTCTTAAATGTTTTGGGCTCTACTGCATCAGCTTACCAGATCTGATTGCAACACCATGTTTTCTTTTCTCTCTTCCAGAGTGAGATTTTTTTTTTCTTCAGATTTTAATGTTGTTCTGATAACTTAAGATATCCTATTGATATTACTTTTTCAAAGCATATTAATAAACTTTGAACAGATGAAGACAATATATGATAATAAAACATGAGTGACCAACAACATACACCTCAGACCAATAATTCAAGAGTCATTTTTGTATTTTTTAATCTCACTTGAGTAAAACCTGTGATGTCATGGGCTCCTGTTTAGCCCAGTTGATATGCTAAAATATTGTTGTTGTTGTTTAACATGGCCATGGGAAACAAGAACAATGAAATGTGCTTTTACATGCAGAAATTGTGTAACAAATATAATACAAGAACAATGAAATGCGCTTTTACATGCAGAAATTGTGTAACAATACAGCATTTGTCAGTTCTTCCATGTTTACTTACAGAATAAATGATATGATTCATACTTTGAGGGCTCAAACTATCCACATCTGCTGATCCAAATGGATGTTGGTGCCATGTGCCAGGGTTTCTCAGGACACACCCAGCCCTAACTTCGACACAGGAACTGAACATTTGGAAGGAGGGACAGGACAGATAACTGGATCCTTTTGGAGAACAGACAGGCATAATCATAAAAGGTGTGAGGTGAGAACCTGTGTTATACTGTAAGTTGATTATGTTTTGACACAGAGGGATTATTTAATTTACTGTATATGGAAATGTATCTTATAATAAAATTTCCTTCAGCACAGAGTTGACATCCTAGCAACAATGGGTGACTCCGGTGAGGACTATGTAAACTACACCTATGATTATTACCTGGAGTATGGCGACTGGGAGGAACTCAAAGTAGACCACAGGCAGACGGACACTATGCACATTATCTCAGTGGTTATCTACATCATTTCCTTTGTGCTTGGGCTGATTGGAAATGGAACGGTTATCTGGGTGACAACGTTTAAAAGCAAAAGGACTGTCAATAGTGTGTGGTTGCTCAACCTAGCTATGGCAGACTTTGTATTTGTGCTTTTTCTACCCCTCTCCATTGACTACCTATTGCGAGACTTTCACTGGGACTTTGGTGTGGCCATGTGTAAGCTTAACTCTTTTGTTTCTGGGATTAACATGTATGCCAGTGTGCTGTTTCTCACAGTGCTCAGTATAGACAGATATGTCTCTATAGTCCATCTCAACTGGTCTCAGAGGTATCGCACTGTACAGAGAGCCTGGTTTACATGCGGATGCATTTGGGCACTAGCTACAGCCCTGAGCTGTCCAGCGCTTATTTTTCGTGACACTGTGCGCTTACATGACAAGGTGGTGTGCTTCAACAATTTCCACACACAGGATGGATATATAGCAGCCATGAGACACATTATAATGGTGGCCATCCGTTCCACCGTGGGCTTCCTTCTGCCCTTTACTGCTATATGTGTGACTGGAATCCTTCTGACAATCAAAGTGAGACGATCTGGGGACTCTGTCCACATGTCTAGCTTCTCCAAAACAGTCACTGCAGTAATTCTGGCCTTCTTTTTATGCTGGGCACCTTTTCATATTTTTAGCATGATGGAGGTATCTGTACATACCTCAGGACACCTACACAACATACTGAAATCTGGCTTTCCGCTTGCTACTAGCTTAGCCTTTTTTAACAGCTGTCTTAACCCCCTGCTGTACATGCTCCTGGGCAAAAACGTTCGACATATCCTGAAGCGTGCATGCCTGGACATAACTAAATGTTCACTAAGAGAGATCAGCCAGTCCATCTCTGCCACTGAGGTGGAGTCTGTGCCAGGACCTTATCAGGACAGTATCACAGAGGAGCCTGTGGAGTCAGCAAATTTATAACGGCCATGATAAACATGAGGGTGAGAATGGCTATTATTGTAGCGTAAATGTGGAGGATTCTTATAGCTCTTCTTTCCAGCAGTAGTATTAAGAGTTTCCTCCTTTGTTTCGTTTGGATAGAATTATGTCTACATCAATCTACAATTACACTTGGTGGAAAAGCTGAGGGAACCTGTGCAGGACCTGCACATGGAGTTAGTATTTTGCCATCTGTTTTTCATTTGCATAACACAAATGATCTATAAAGAAAGAGGTGAGGTTAAATTATACCTGAGACTGTTGATTAGCAACTATTCTGATAAGTAAACTTGTTAAAATAAAGATACCAGGCATTCTGTGGTTCCCGCTTCTCCACTGTGAGGATTTGCTGCTTCTGTGATAATAAACTGAACATATCTGTGGTCAGATAAAACAATTTGCAGATGCTACTTTGGGATATGGAAAATATGATCAATATTTTTCATTATTATTATGCATATCATACATTAAGAAGATATTTACTCATTTTTTATTGTATTCTTTTGAACCAAGGGCATTTGCTCATCAATGCTTGATAGGCTATTTGATGCTGATATCAGATTGTATCTAACATTAATATGTATTTATACAATTTAATGTATTTTAAGATTTGTAACTACTTGTATTAATGTGTTATTCTTGTATATTCCAAATAAAATAGCATATATTTCAATAAATTTTTAACTCTGAACACTATATTTTGCACATCTTTATTCACGTGTGTCTTTGTAACCTTGTTAAAGACTGTAGCTTTGGTGTTTGAGCTAGATTTTCAAGAGGATTTTCACATCCTATGCACCAGCCACCCAGATGTGCACTTCCATTCTGTTATCTGAGGTTTTGTTTAGAGATTCAGCCCCTTCCTGTTATTTCTAGTGGGTGAACTCTGACTTGTTAATGTTACAACACTGTTAGGTATGAGGCAGAGTGAAAGACTTGAAAGTTGGGTTGATTATCTCTAAGTGTGAAAATAGAGACAGGGTGCAAACATTTGACCTTTCTTTAATATGTACAGTCAGCATGCCCTCATGCCACTTTATGAACAAGTTAAGTGAATGCTCCAGATTATTTCTGTAGCTATATATGTGTTCAACAGAGGCTGAAAATCCAGATGTGTATCCTAAACAATGTCAGAAAGAAAAAGCCTGCTGTTTACAGCCACTGCTACTAGTTGTAAGCTACGTGAGTCTTGGGTTTAAATGACTTGGTCTGTTGGCTGCTAGTGTTGAAAACCTGCACGACTAGATTAGCCAGTTTGTATATTGTTTAGATTATTGTATAGGCTACAGGATTACTAAATACGTGACGCTGCACAACAGCTACACAGTGAACAATCTGCATTGCAGGCAGTCTCAAGATTTTTTTGAATTGATTTTGATTTGATTTATTCTTTCAAACATGTAAAGACAATCACTATGTCAGCACACATAATTTCACAGATATCCACAAATGCATTATCAATTTGCTTATACCCAGTACGTGCTTGAATGGAGTAGGAAGAAGTCAGACTTATCCAGTCCTACCCCATGACATCATCCTACTATCATTGGTTTGCAAGCAGTAAATGATTCTCTTCTACACCACACAAGTATTATACAAAAAAAAATATAACAGTTAACATTCTTACATAATTACATTCTTAAATAATTATCTTCTACACCACACAAGTAATATACTAAAGAATTATTACAAAGTGTTAACATTCATACACCACACCCACAATGTTCCCTCTAAATAATCATTAAGCCTGTTCTTGCATATATCTTGATTGACACATACCTTATGTATGTATATTTATGTTTAAACTCGTCAATTCTATTAATATTTTTTATGTCTACACTTAAATTATTCCATAGTTTTACCCCACTTATGGAAATACAAAATCTTTTTTTGGTTGTACGTATAGCATGAATTTTTAAATTTAACTGACCCCTTAAATTGTATCCCCCTTCCCTTTCATTAAATAGTTTTTGAATTCCACCAGGTAATAAATTGTTCCTGGCTTTATACAAAAACACAGCAGTCTTATATCCCACTAAATCAAAAAATTTTAACAATTTAGACTGTATGAAAGCTACATTGGTGTGATCCCTATACCCCATCTTATGCACAATTCTTATCGCTCTTTTTTGTAATATATACAATGGTTGAAGTGAGCTTATGTATGTATTTCCCCAGTTTTCAACGCCATACTCTAAGTATGGTAAAATCAATGAAGAATACAAAACGTGTAGTGCTTTCCCGTCCAAAATATATCTAACCCTCGCCAATATCGATATATTTTTTGCTATTTTATTCGGGACATATCTATATGCGATTTCCAGGAGAAGTTGTCATCAACTATGACACCTAGAAATTTAATTTCATATACTCGTTCTATATTAGCTCCCCCAATTTTCAATTGAAGTTCATTATCTAGTCTACAATTCCCAAATACCATAAATTTAGTTTTATCCAAATTCAGAGATACTATATTACTGTCACACCATTTCTTTATCTTCTCAAGTTCCTGTGAAACCCGTCCAGAGAGTTGCTGTAGGTTTTCACCCGATGCCCATATCGTAGTGTCATCAGCAAA